ACAGCAGGGTTGTCTGAACAGCAGGTTTCAGCCTATAGATGGGAAATTTTTAAAAAGAAACAGGATAGGATATATCTAAGTGTATCATACATAGTAACAAGAGATATTTCATGACACTCTTGTTTCAGTTATGCGTATGCATGTGCAAGGGGTGGTGGGTGACAGTGTTAAATGTATATTTGTTACTGGGGGTCACGGTCTGAAGCATTTGAAAGTCACTGCCTTAATGGTACCTCTTCTCTGCCTAATACTCTGTGAATACTTACTGAATTGAACAGGTTGATGAGTATGAAATGATTCACATATTATAACTTTGAAGGCTCCACCTTAATGGAATACAAAGAATAATGCCTATCTGAACAAAAGTGTATGGATCTGGCTTATATGAAGCTATGGAGGAATGGGGTAAGTGCCAGGGAAATCAGAATATTTATTACACTATTATATGTTGATAGACTTTCTCTCTAATGATTAAAATGTGTTAAGATTTAAGGAAGATGAAATACAAGTTCATTTTGGAAAACTTCACTGAATCTACCTTATGAGTTTGCATCTTTAAAATATGCAGTATAGGTAATTCCACCATGATGCATAAAAGGATCTTTCAGAGACACCATGAAAGCCCTTGTTCAAATTTTCTTTGCCCAAGACGCCCCAATGTACTCTCAATATTCCCATCCCCACCATCTGTAAAAATCCCATCTGTCTTCCAAGACTTAGTTCAAAGGCCACCTATTTCATGGAAGCCTTTTTTTAACTCAACTTTTACTCTTTCCACCCTCTACTACCACCCCCATCCCAGGGTCTCTTTTCTGAATCACCAGTGTTGAAAACTTCCTTTTTCAAGTGTGTACTTGTCTTAATTTCCTCACTAGACAATATTAATATGTACAACCTACACTTTACTCATCTGTGCATCCCCCACAGCAACCAGCAAAAGGTCTTGTACTTAAGAGATGATCAATAAATATTTGTTAAATTAATAAATGAAAGCAACAGATGGCCTGTTAAAAAGGATGGCCATTATTTTAAAGGCCCTGAGGAATGGCTTATATGTCTAGCACCTAATCAAAAGCTGGTGTACCACAGAAAGAGGAGCTGGGAGTGGAAGGGATGGCCTTGCACCTCTGCATATCTGTCCCTGTTAACTCGCTGAATGCCCAAATCTTCAAGACTCTACAGAACAAAGCTACAGTGTCGGGTGCTGAATGAGCACCTTCACCTTGTTCCAAGTCCTCCAGTCTTGCTTCAAATCAGAAATTGGAAGTGGAATTAGAGATGGAAATTAGGACTATCTTTTTCAACTTGACGGTATGGCTGAAGAGATTGAAATAGCCATCTGGATAATTCAGGCTCAAAAAACCCATCCTGAAAAATAAGTATGGATGTTTCTGAGTTGGGGGAAGAGTATGCAAGGAGGCGAAGGAGGTAGTTCTTGAATTATCAGTTGATTGATTGCGTATATTGATTATATTCAACAGAACTGAGCTTTTCCCTTCATATTATCTATACAGTCATTTAAGGACACTTTCTGTGACTGCAAGAATAAACTGGCTCAGATTCAAAGCCACATTCACAACTAATAAACTCCAATTTGTTCAACTGGAAAATGATGTCCATCAATTAGAAAAAGTTGTTAGGGATTAAAATAAGATTCTCTTTTGCCATTAATCTGTACCTCCTCCTTCCCCCTTCAAAAAAAAAAGGTTTTCTATGATGAATTAAAGGAAGAAACTTTCAATGGTCTTTATTTAAAATGTATATTGCTCTAATACAGTAATTCATAATTAACAGGTACACTTTCCTAACTATGGTATTTTATTTTCAAATTTTTAATTTTAATACCATTTAGGGCTCTAACTTTCTCTTTGATATTTTAAAAGAACCTTAACTTCCAGTCCATCAGATTTTATTTTGTAATTAATTTCAGAGCTGTCCTTATAAACTGAGAGACATTTGAAATACTCTAAAAAATGGCATTGTCTGCCTGGATTTGAAGTCAGATAGTTGGGCTTTGAAGCTAATTTTTAGTGGAAATACAGCTGCTACCTATTTAGATGTGTGTCTCTGGGCAGGTTACCCTATCTCCCCATCTTCAGTTTTCCTATCTGTAACATAGAACTAATAACAATGCTTGCTTTATAATGTTGTGAAGATTAACTGAGCTAAAACATGAAAGGTACCCAGAACAGTGTCTGATAAGTAAATGTTAGTTTTAAAAAGTTTACTGTCGGGCCAGGCGCGGTGGCTCACGCCTGTAATCCCAGCACTTTGGGAGGCCGAGGCGGGTGGATCACGAGGTCAAGAGATCGAGACCATCCTGGTCAACACGGTGAAACCTCGTCTCTACTAAAACTACAAAAAATGAGCTGGGCATGGTGGCGCGTGCCTGTAATCCCAGCTATTCAGGAGGCTGAGGCAGGAGAATTGCCTGAACCTAGGAGGCGGAGGTTGCGGTGAGCCGAGATC